AACTGTCAGAAGGGGAAGGCTCAAGAGGGGTCTCCAAGGAAAGGGGGGACCTGAAGGCAGGGGTGGGGTGGTGTTGGCCTACCTGGGCCTGCATGCACGTACGTTCTTCCTCAGACACGTGTTAGGCTCTGTGACACATTCTGTGGAGCAGGGTCGCAGACTACAGTATTGGTCAATAAAGTTTTATTGGAACACAGCTGCTCATTGGTTTGCTATTGTCTAGGGCTGATTCAGTTCCTGGAAAAGGCTCTCTTCCCGGCTTGCAGACCGGTGCCTTGGTGCCTTCTCGCTGTGTTCTCACAGGTGGGTAGGATGGGGAAGAGGCTCCCGTTGCTCTTCTTAAAAGGCCACAGCCCTTCTATGGATTAGGGCCCCACCCTTATGACCTCACTTGACCTTAATTACCTCCTCATGGATTCTATTCCATACATACATTGGGGGTTCCATGTGTGAATTTGGGGGGACACAGTTCAGTCCATAGCAGTTCCATATTGTTTCTTCCAAAAAAACATAATGTGTTGAGATTTATCATTCTATTTTACTTCATTGTTTGGTTTACTGGCGTTTTCACACCCACTGTAAATTGGAGACAGAAGGAACGTTTGTGGTTTGGCAGGGTGCGCCTTTGTTCCTGATCCCACCTCCTCTTCCAAGCGCCCCCGACTGACAGTGTCCCTGAGCTGAGCTCCCGGTCTCCAAAGCCTCCTGCCCGCCAGTCAAGGGCCCTGAGGGAGCTGGGGAGCACGGCTGGGGCGCTCTGGAACAGTCTACCGGAAATGAGCTTGTACTTGGCAGTAATGAGTGTCTAGTGACCATAATCAGGCCAGGGATCGTGTGCTGGGAGGCAGATACGCAGCGCTGAGGGAGACACAGGGCTTGTGAGGGGCCTCTGACAGAGAGGAAAAGCTCTTGGCACGGCTGTGTCCACAGCTGGGACTGGTGCTGGTGACTGAAGCACAGGGTAACTTGCTTTTTTAGGTTTTGCTTCTCTTTGTACACATACATTTGCAAAAATGTACAGCCTTGAAGAAGTAAAGCTGTAGCGTGTGAATGCCTGTCATAACATATGCACTGTTAGCATCACAGGCCTGGGGTGTGACAGCCAGACTGTCTCCTCATTCACGGGTTTCCGCGTGGCCTTGGTTTCTCACAGTTACGACGTAGTCATGTGTGTGTCCCGTAAACACAGCATCTCCTGCTGTCAGTGTTACTGTAGGATATGCTTTCAGAACAGGAATCTGAAGACCAAAGGAAAAGTGCTGCGGGGAGGGTAGAGCTCAAGTGGTAGAGCACATGCTTAGCATGCACGAGGTCCTGGGTTCGATCCCTAGTACCTCCTCTAAAAATAAATAAACCTAACGACCTCCTCCCAGAAAACTAAAACTTAAAAAATAATACAATAATAAATAAAAATACTTCTAAAATATTTTTTTAAAAACAAAGGATATGTGCTTTTTCAGTGTTAATCAGCATTTCAAAGCTCCCTCCAAAAAAGGCCACACCAATGCATACCCTATAAAGATATATGAGAAAAGGCTGGGGTGTTCCCGTTGTAATTTTTTTAATGGCAGTATCGTTGATGTGTAATATTATGTAAGTTACAGGCGTCTAATGTAGTGATTCACAATTTTTAAAGGTTAAACTCCATTTATAGGTATTATAAAATGTTAGCTATATTCCCTGTGTTGTACAATATATCCGTGTGGCTTACCTTTGTAATTTAAGAGCTTTCATTGGAGAACAGTAAGTTCCAGGGTTTTTTACTGTGTTTTTTAAACTCTCCAGCAGCTGGTTGGGTACCTGGTCTGTGATGGGCTCCCAGATGCTTGCTGTTGGGTAAATAAAAGAACAGGAGAAAGACTGCCACGTGCCCCTCAGCAGCCCAGGGTCACACATGCACACGCAGGTACATACTTGCCCTCGCGTGAACCCACACTCCCATGTGCACGCGCACGCGCACACACACACACACACACACAGACACGCATGTGCCTACATACACCCCTTCATTCAGCCACATGTTCCAGCCTGAACCACTCCCGCCCCTCATTGTAATAAGGAAGCTGTAACGTAATAAGGAAGTTCCTCTCCAGCCTCTCCAGGAGTCAGAGTGTGATGAGGGGCCTCTGGGGAGGGACGAGGTCCTCTTTGTCCCTCTTGGGCCACTCCTGAGCCCTGGCCGGGACCATGGGCCCTCAGGGAGGAGCTCCTGGGTAAACCTGAGACAATCACAGAGTGTCTGTGCTGTGGAGGACCATGGAGGGCCCAGCAGAGAGAAAATTAATGAAGAGGGACTTGGAAAGATGTCAGGAAAGCCCCTGAGTGCCACGGGTCAGAGTCTAGGCTTTAACTGTGGATGCAGGGACTGGTTGAAGTCTTTAACCAACAGACCAGCTCAATCAACACAGCATTTGAAGGTAGCTGGGTGTGCGCGATGGAGCAGAGGGGAAGGGTTTCCTCACAGGTCACCAAGGGCAGGACAGGGGTCAGCACAGCGGGCTTCCAGGAATGGTGTTAAGGAGGGGTGGGGGGCAGGTGGTGGGTTGATCGTGGAGGGAGAATCAATAGGATTTGAAAATAGACGGACTAATATATGTATTTACATGTATGACTGAAACAGTATGCTGTACACCAGAGATTGACACCTTGTAACTAACTATACTTCAATAAATAAAAAAGAAAACAGAGGGATTGAAGGAGGAGGCCGTCCACTATTACTCTGGTTAGGAATGGTTAGGAGGGTGTGGGCCTTATTTATAAGGGTCAGGCAGTGCAGGTTATCTCTGCCCAGGAGTGCCCAGCATTTACATCCGGTGCTTCTCGGAGGCCAAGTGAGGTCAGTAGAGAATTGGGTCTGTGAGCTGGAAGGTTAGCAACCAATAAAGGGGCACTTTTCCTTCCGTTATTTCAAAAAGAGCCCCATATAACCCCGCGGGACTGAGTAGGTTGCAAGGCTTCCTTTGGGTGAGTTGGGGATCCCTGCGTGTGAGGTGAGGGTCCCTCATCTCCTCATAGGAAATTCCTGCAAGGATCTCTCGAGCTCCCAGTTTTCACTTGTGAATTTTTGACAGAGAAGGTTAGTCTGTTACATAGGAAACAAGAAAGGGACAAGTGATTAATATGGATATGAAAGGATTAAATTCAAATTTTAGTTGAACACTTAAGTCACTTAGGAGCTGTAGTTAGTATTGAGAGCCTGTTTCCATGGAAACAGTTTAAACCTTGTTTTTCTAGAAAGTCAGAACTAAATGGATATCATATACCATAACCTCCTTGCCTGTTCCCTGCCTTCCATCCCCTCAGGAACTGCCCCCTAGCCTTCGTTTCTCTGGAGCCGTAAATATTTCTTCCATCCCCGAGGAAGCAAACAGAGCACAGATCCTGCGAGACCGCCCTCCTCTGACCTGAGCCTCACTCTGTAACCCCTGCAGCAGCCTCTTCACGCCCTGCCTGCTTCTCACGCTGCCCTGGAACTAGCCAGTCAGGTCCTGCCCCACTGTACCCTGCGGCTGCTTTTGCAGAAGTTAACAGCGCTCCCCTGATGACCAAGCCCATGCTTTCACCCTTCTGTGACTACTTCTGGTTTCTCCTCACCCTACCTGGTAATTCTCTTCCTGTCTCCTCCCTTGCCTGTCCTTTAAATGTTGGTTTTCCAGCCCTGGGGGGCGTGGCTTCTTCTCGTAGGTGTGGCTGATGTACAGGTGGACACTTACAGATTTCCCAACACACATTTCATGCCGATGACTCATGTATACTGGTCTCCCACCCCAACTGGTCAGCTCAGCCCCGGCTCCCAGGAAGCAGCTGCTTCTTAGCCACCCAGACGTCTGTGCTTAGCTGGGTCAGGGGCCAGGCTGACCCGTCTTTCCACCTGCCCGCCTGCTGCTCTGTGTGCTGCACCTGGGAGAAAGTGGTGCCTTCCAAAGCGAATGTGGGGGTCACCCAGCCTCTTCCTTTCTCTCACGCACGCCCACACCCCCGGGCCGTGGATTCCGGGGCCTCTCTCTTTGACTACCCCAAAGCTGACCTGTATCTCCTTGTATGGCGGCAGCTCCCCCGACTGCCTCCCAGGCCCATTCAGCCCGGTGTGACAGCTTTTTCAAGTTGCAAAGCCAATTGTTTTGTTTCTCTGCTTGAAATCTCTCCGTTCATCTTTTCTGGCACCTCTGGGTCAGGCTTTTCCTCTCTGACTCTAAAGCAACAAACCCTCCCTGCAACACACACACAATAGACACAAACGGACACAACGGACTTGTTACTGAATCGAACTCAGGTCCACTCGCCCGATACGCAGTAGTCACTCCAATGACACCAGGTTGTGGTGAAGGAAAGTGCAGGCTCCAGGCAAGGGAGTAGAAGACCAGCCTCAGATCCACTCCACTTTGGTCTTGGAGTGAGGAGTTCTTTTAAGGGAAGGAGCAAAGAGGCTGGAATTAATCATCGTGTTGTGACATTTCTTAATAGCAGTTTCGAGAGTCAGGATGTCTCTGGTTTATGATTCTCTGGCCAGGTCGTCCATGGCTTGGGGGGTCTGTGAGCTCATCTTGCCCTGGAGAAACAACCTGGGTTTGTACATTAATGACAACATCTAAATAGCAATTTTAGTACGTTAACAACGTGATCAACAATTGCAATCCTACTCATCTGAGTGGTTGGTTAATGTTCAGTGAGCACAGGATTGAGGTCAGAGGGGACAAGAAAGGGGATAAACTTTTGGATAGAGGGATCGATTGTAAACTCAGTGACAGAAATCAGTTTCTGTCGGGGGGACTCAGTCTCAGACGCCCATTAGCACAGCTTTGCCTGACACCAGGCTGCCGGCACCTTTCTTTGTACCCCTGCCTGTGCTAGTGTGAGCATCTGGAACGCACCTCCTCACAGTGTCTGTTACCAGATAAAACAAAGACTTTCTTTCAGACGCGGTGCGGCTGCTAATGTTCTGCCGTGGCTGTTTCCGCTCTGACAGCAGACACTGATTCGGTCTCCTCTCTCTTGTCCAGTGTTGAGCATTCGTGGCATTCAGGAGGAGGGCCCCCCCGACGATCAGCTCATGAGGCTGGATAGCATGCTGCTGGCCGAGGGCGTGTGCAGGCTGGGGAAGCGAGGAAGAGGAGCAGCAGCAGCGGCGGCCAGCACAGCAACACCAGGTGGCTGTCCAAATGACAATGGCCTTGAGCACTCTGACTACAGGGCCAAGCTGTCCCAGATCCGACAGATTTACCACTCTGAGCTAGAGAAATATGAACAGGTGATCTTTCTGCATGGAAGAGTTTCTATCATGTGAATGCGCATTTGTCAAAGCAAAACGTGGAGCACTAAACCGCCTTCCTTTTGTGGCACAGACCGGGCAGTCCACACACTTGGTCTCACAGCAAAGGTGGCCAATTTTACTGGAAGCCCTTTGCCTTCACTTCTCAGTAGCCAGCCTGTGTGGGAGCCGCGGGTGGCGGGGAGCTGGTCCCACACAGAGCCCTGGGCCAGCCTGCTGTGTAGTCACTGGCTGGTGTGTGTGTCCCCACCCCAGGCCTGCCAGGAGTTCACCACGCATGTCACCAACCTTCTCCGGGAGCAGAGCAGGATCAGGCCCGTTTTGCCCAAGGAGATCGAGCACATGGTCGGGGTCATCCATGGCAAGTTCAGCAGCATCCAGATGCAGCTGAAGCAGAGCACCTGCGAGGCCGTGATGACCCTGCGCTCCAGGCTCCTGGATGCCAGGTCAGGCCCCACCCCACCCACGACTGCAGGGTGGCTCTTAGGAAGAGGAACCAAGTCATTGCTGACCTGGATTTACGGACAGGGGGCCTCCAAGCCTGTCCAGGGGCTCTGGCCGCAGCTGCAGGTGTAGCCCCTCACACAGCCTTGGGGGATGGCTGAAGCGCTGACTGCTGCTGTTACCACCTCTGGGGGTCAGGGATGCTGCTGGTAGCCCAGTGTCTGAACACCGGCTGAGGCTCTGTCTTTGCAGGCGTAAGCGGCAGAATTTCAGCAAGCAAGCCACGGAAGTGCTGAATGAGTATTTTTACTCCCATTTGAGCAATCCTTACCCCAGCGAAGAAGCAAAAGAGGAGCTGGCCAGGAAGGGTGGCATCACGGTCTCCCAGGTGACAGTCCTTTCCTGCCCCGCCTCCCTGAACATGGAAGGGAAGGAGGGTTCAGCCCAGTGAGGAGGACACTCAGGGAAAGTTCATAAAATGTGTGGAGCTGGAGCCCGGTGTCCAGGCTTGGAGTCGCCTGGCTGTGCCCAGATCCTGGGTCTGTTCTATGAATGTGGGTCTCAGACAGGAAGCCACGCCTACCAGGTGAAGGGACTCCCAGAAGCTATGAGCGTGGACTGTGAGGTCCCTGAGGTGACACCACCGAGTGTGGCATCTGGTACTCAGCGAATTGTGGTCGTTAGGATTTCCTATCATTCTTGCATCTGAGGGTGTGCTGTGTTGCATAAGAGGGATCAGGTATAAACTTGGGAGAAGGAAAAAAACTTGGAGCAAAATCAGGACTTAAAGTGATAGACCAGCTTTCGCGCTCAAGTACCAATTCAGTTATACTGGGGTAAGTTCAGGCATGTGCATCACCTGCTTGTTACTCAGCTAGTCTCCCTAGAGACCAGAGGGAATGGCCGGTGGCTCGGAGCTACAGCTGGCGGAGAGGCCATCCCACTCCTCTACGAGGTGCCCGTGCTGGGACATGCAGGGCAGGCGACATCTGGCTCCAGTTGGGGAATGGTGGTGCAGATTGGAGAAGGAACCCGGACAACCTTGGACAGCCTCAGGCAACCTTGGTCGTCTGGATTGTCTCCCTTCTCACTGGAACTGGGGTGAGGGATGCAGAGCTAAGGCAAGAGTCCAGGAAACCTTTCATAAGGTTTTAAAGTGAGAATGGTAAGCTCAGGCAGCCCGCAAGTGAGAGGCAGGACCAGGCAACACCCACAGGGCAGTGGGAATGGGCAGAATGGGGGCCAGGTGTGCAGCACCCCCTCTGGTGGCAGGCAGGGCTGGAGCATGCCCTGGCTCACTGAGTGTCACCACCCACCTGGAGGCAGCCACCTCCTCCTGCCGTGCAGTTGGAGGGGCTGAGTTTCCAGCCCTGTCCGACTGCCTCCAGAGCCTGTACCCTCAGCCACCACCCTCTGCCCAGTCTGTGCCAAGTCCAGCAGTGACCTGGGGACAAGGGCACTCGGGAGCCCCGCAGGGTCATGCAGACAGCAAAGCCTCACAGGTGTCCCAGTAACATCGGACCTCACTCACCGCAGGACTGCAGTGGTGACCTCAGCACCTTGGCCGGAGCTGCAGGGAGGGCTGCACCTCTGGGGCTTCAAGAGCTGAAGGGAGCTTGTTCCCACCACGAGCAGTTGTCTGAAAATGGCCAGATTCACTTCAGGGCCTGCCGCCTCCCGAGAGCAGATGGGTCCTTTGTCTAGACTTCATCTGAGGAGGGGGCTCATTGCAGACAAAAGTTTGGAAAGCACCAGCCACATTACAGGGGCTCCCACACACCAGAGACCTCCACCCACAACCCACAGCAGCAGAATTCTGTGCTCAGATCCCCTCCCCACTTTGGTGGGTCTGCCAGCGCAAAATAGCTGACAGTCAGCGGAGGGAGGGCCCTGAATTCAGGGTGGGATGTCGTGCAGGTTGTGACGTTCACCTGAGAAGGTAGTGGGGAGGGAGAGCACTGTGAAGGCAGAGGGTGCTGCAGATGGGGCCACAGACGTTTTCAGGACAGAATCAGTGCAGCTCCAGGCTGAGGAGGCCTGAGGGGGAAAAGGGCAGGAGAGCTGAGCCCAAGCACGCCGCGATGGGAGCAAACTCAGATGTCTTCAGCTGGCTCAGCCAAAGGGGCCAGAGGGACCGGAGAGGGAGTGGCCAGTGGCTCAGAGCTACAGCTGGCGGAGAGGCCATCCCAGTCCTGTATGAGGTGCCGGTGCTGGGACACGCCCCATGGAGAGGGCAGACCTGGCCAGGACCACCTCCCCCGTGGCCGCCCTCCCTCACCCACATGGGAAGTTTGTTCTTGGTTCCTCTCAAACCCCAGTTGAATTCAACTTGGAACGCTGCTCGCTGCCATTCTTCTGCAAACTTAGTTCCACGAAGACTTGTCAGCACGTTCCTCAGAGACAAGTGGGAGCCAAGTGCTTACCTGGCTTGGTTAAGGAAGGTGGCCCTCACACCCGGGGCGGGAGGGAAGGGACGCCGAGGCGTGAAGCAGGGAGCGCACACCGGGGCTTTTCCTTTTCGTGGTTGACACTGAGAGGATTATGGCGGGACGTTAAAGAAACACATTTTTAAAGGAGAAAAGGTCATCGACAGTCCTGTGGCTGTAACTCAGCTGTTTACTTCTGTTTATTAAAATGCACACTCATCTCACCGCAGGGCCAGGTGCCTGACTTTGAGAGGCTGCACATCTGCATGCTCACAGGAGGGCACTACCCAAGGTCTAACCCAACCGATTCTGCCCCCAGGGAACGCTTGCCTTGTCACGATTCTTGGGGGACTGGCATCTGGTGGGTGGAAGCCAGGGATGCTGCTCTGCACCCTCAGCAAGGAGCCCCCCAGCGGCCCCACCCGGAGAGTGACCCACAGGGAGAAGCCCTGCGCTGGAGGTCTCGGTGCAGGTGTGGAGTCAGAGCAGGGCTCGGACCCGCTTGGCTCTGGGCCAGCTCCTTGCTCACTGGATGGGGGGCTGTGTGTCCCTGCAGCTGCCTCCCAGCTGGCTTTGAGGACCAAACACAGGCGCTCAGTTCAGTGCTCAGCGCCTTCCCCTGCCCTGTCAGATGGTCCTTGTCCTTTGATAAGTCTTGGATTCAACTGTATCCTTTGCTTAAGCTGAATTCCCAGAAACGGGGTTACTAATGTGTGTCTCTCGGGCACTTACTTTGCCTAAGGAGGAATCCAGAATTCAGTCTGTTCCTGTCCCTGCAGTGAGCACACACTCATCTATCCGAGCGTGTCCCCCACACGCCTGTATTTCCTCCAGCTCCTCCCTGGGCCCAGGTTCCAGCAGCATCTGGTTCTCAGGCAGTGTGTCTCCTCCGGCTCCTACAAGCCACACCAGCTCCAGGGTGTCCCCAACCCACTGCAAATATTTCTCTGAGCCCACGATTCCATCAGCGTGCCACCTTCTCAGTCCCGTCCTCTCACCCGACCCCAGGGCCACACAGTCTCACTCAGCAGTGTTCCCCCGGGCGGTGGAAGCCTCAAGTGCATCCACATCGTGTCTCATCACTAGGTCAGCTCGTCCAGTGACTTCTGTCTCTGTGTGTCCATAGGTCTCCAACTGGTTTGGCAACAAAAGAATCCGATATAAAAAGAACATGGGGAAGTTTCAAGAAGAGGCTACCATTTACATAGCTAAGACGGCAGTGGACAGCCCCGAAGTCAGGGGCCCGGGGAGCCAGGCCAGCTGCCCCTCGATGCCCAGCTCCAGTAAGTGAGGTCACTCAGCCCAGCAACAGTCACTCAGCCCAGCAACAGTCGCTCACGCGCAGCCAGGCCCACTGAGCTGCATTTGGGGAAGCAGGGAGGGGGCCCCACTTCCAGGCAGGTCACTGCCTACGCCTCTTTCCTCTGTTTATGCTGTGGGGTTCCTGTTCCCACGGGTGATTATCCTGATCACGTCCCTGCGGGCTCTGCGGGTGCTGTGGGGACAGAAACTTCAATACCAAGGCGAAGGGAAAGGCCTGCAGGAGGGGTGGGGGACCATGGGCGTCACATTCCTGGCCCCTTCCTGGCTGGGGAGCTGGCAGAGACCCCCTGAGGAGTTGCTGCGGCCCCCAGGGCAATTTGTCCTGATCTCTCCCATCCCTTCCAGGTGCCTCTGGTCCCTTTCCACTGACCAGCTCCAGGGGCGCACTTACCGCCCTGCAGACACTGGCCTCTCTCCGGCCCGCCCCTGGGGGAGGCGGCCTTCTGTCCCAGGTGAGTCTCGGGCACAATCCCAAGGACACCTGTGGGGTCCCCGCCTCAGTGACAGGGCACACTTGGGGCCCACCCAGGAGGGTGGTCGGTCCTTGAAACTGGCCATCTGAGCTGCATCTCAGTCTTCCTAGGCTCCCCTGAAGGTCCTGGCAACAAGGTGAGCCCATGGGGCACTCAGTCCATCTTGGGGATGAATGCAGGCTGGCGGGGTCCCCTCAGGGAGCACTGCTCTGTGGGGCCCGCTCGGCAAGGACCCCGTGCCTTCACCCCTCAGGACGCGATAACTTGAGGCAGCCGCTGAGGTTTTTGCCTTTTGGGAAGGAGCCCTCCCTCCCCAAGGGTGTCTGTACCGCTCAGGGGAGGCCAGGGGTGGGCAGACGAGGCCCTGACTGTCTGAAGGTGCAGCCCCATTGGGCTCAGACCCTACTCCATGTTCATGCTGTGGCCTAAGGAAGAGCAGAGCTCTCAAGGTCACACAGAGGGTGTGGTGCCCAGGCGCCTGTGAGCAGCCAGCTCAGGAGCTGCCCCTGGAGTGTGAGCTGGGAAGGGGAACAGCCCTGCTCTCAGGGGCTGCAAACAGGACTCGCCTTGGAGCAGTCGGCCCGAGAAGAGCTATTGTCAGTGGTGGTTTCCATGGGCAGTGGGTTGGGGGTTCCTGTGGACAAACATCTCAGGGTCACATGTGCCAAATACGTCCCTGCAACTGCAGGCGGAGCCCCCATGCCCGGCGGCCCTGGCCCTGCCCTCCTGACCACCCAGCCAGACCCGCGTCCTGCCGGGTTCCTGAGCCTCTTCCCACTCACCAAGTCTCAACACGATGTTTTGGGGACCATCGTCAGCTCCAGGCCCTGTGTGTGCCACGTCAGTCCTTTGCCAGATCCCTGCCTGCAGAGGCCAGTGTCCTGCCAAGGAAGCACGGCCATGTGCAAGGCCAGCTGTGACCCAGGACTGACCCCTTGGTCCTTCCCCCGTCTCCTGGCCCCTCGTGCTGCTCTCAGCATGTTCTAAGCCTTCTCGGGGATGGGTCGTCTTTGTCCTGGACCTCCTCCGACTCTGTTTCTGTCTTTTCAGGCCAGGGGCGGCTGGCAGGGGAAGCGAAGGTCGACCACTTCACTTGTTGGAGACGCCGGCAGTGTCACCTCAGATGCATCTAATTAAATGTTGGGACAAGCAGAAAAGGGGACGGTGTGACCTGCCGTGGTTCTCTGTCCTTCATGCTACCTCAGAAAACCCAGGACTGACTCCAGACGGTGCTCCCGGGCCAGTGGCAGGCGACAATGATGCCATCTTCTGCTTGTCAGCTGGGATTTGAAATGGGCGGAGACACTGCTCCTTCTCCTAACTCCATTTGGCTTTTTTTAATACTAATTTTATGGTTAAGACTATGAGTTGTTTCCTCTAGGACTTGGCACAAATTCTGCCATTAAATTTTGGACTGATTTTAAGTTTGATGTCATTCACACCTGGATTTGTTCCTGGTGACAGCTGACCGCCAGGCGCAGGGCCTCAGCAGCGCAACTGTAAGAGTTGAGATTTTGTTGGCTCACTTGTCCCTTCCTGCACCTCCCCACCCAGACGCTGCCTTCCCACACTCCCTCTGTTGTGTCATTTCACAAGGTTGTGACCTGAGTCTGTGCTAAGCTCAGAATTCTACTGGGAATTGGTTTGCACCCCTCCCCTCCTTTTTTTCTGTTAATACAAGTTCTACCATTTTCAGCTGAAATGTCATTAAAGAGAATAAACTTCGCAAGACCTTTCCTGCACCTGTACTCTTGAAGTCCTGCTGGCTCGAGGCTCGGCTCTCAGTGTCCCTCTCTGTCCCCTCACCCAGTTCCTCCTCTGCTTCAGCCTTCAGGTTGGACCTCCCCTTCTGAGGAATGAAGACGGTAGAGCTGGGCTGCTGGGAGAATTGAATAAGCCTGGGCTCAGGGCGGCTCGGGGCCTGTCAGCGTCACCATGGCCCTAACCCCACACTGCCAGCTGCCACCCTGACCAGCGTCAGAGCTTCTGCCCAGAGTGTTTGGTCTCTGGACACAGAGTAATCCGACTCCGTGTGCCTCCACACCAGCTCACCCCCAGATCCCGGCCAGCTGAATCATCCCCGTTCTCCCAGTTCTTGGCCTCAAGGCCTCCCAGGCCTGAGAGATCCCTCCATCCTGCCTCCAACCCCTGCGCGTGCCACCACCGTGGCGCTGATAGTGTGAGGGTTGCGGAGGGGAAACGAGGCACAGGAGTGAGGGTCTGCCAGGTCACAGCCATGCAGCATGGCAGGAGACTGGCCTGCACCCAGAAAGGCTGAGTGTGGTCGTCTCCTGGGATCAGAGGAGCTCGGCCCCGCTGCTGGGTCCCTGGACTCCGGCCCCTGCGGCTCCCATCTGCCTCTGGGCAGCAGCTGGCTGCTCTCACCTGGCCTGTTACCGCACTGTCCTCCGTTTCTGTGGCTTTTAAGAGCCACTGGAGGGGAGATGGACTGTGTGTACTGGAGATGATGGTGCTGGGGCGGTCCCAAGGGAAACAGACAAAGCAGCAACTCGTGGGTCCCAGGTGTCCCAAGAGCCTCCTGCTCACTTGCGCCCTTGGCATGAATGCAGCTCCTGGTCCACTTGGCCTCCAGCTTCTAGCTGTTTCTCTTGGAGGATTTTCGGTTTGGTTTGATTTGGTTTGGTTTGGTTGGGGGTATGGG